TCTCAGTCATCCCTGCGGGCTATCCTAACTCCTACACATGTTCAGTTTTCCAATGATTCTATGAGTAGGACCCATTCATACTCCCTTTCTCCCCTCTCCATAGTTTAGTTACCTGGGGAAGCCTGAGCCAGAACCACAAGGACAGCTAACGCCAGGAACAAGAGTTTAATGTATCTTGAGAGGGGTGAGGAATGATCCTGCAGCATACTGAACGTCCTAGGGAAGGTAGATCTTCACTCTGCATTTTATTGGCTTGGGTAGGGCTGAGTCATGGACAATAAATCAAAGCACAATGTTTCACCACCCAGAACATCAGCCTGCAGGTCAGCGGTATAAACGGATCATCTAGTGTTTAGAGTCCTTCTCTAGACATCATCTGAGACAGTGAAAGGCATTAGCTACGTATGTTCAAGTCCTACACAAGTTGTGGCGTCATGGAGAGAATGGACCCACAATCCGAGGAGCCTTTATTGCTCCTCCTTTTGGGTCATTAACCTCTTTCCTTATGTTCTCACACTCCCTCTCCTTCCTTCCTTTTGTCAAAATGCTTATTGGTGAATTGGAACTAAGTATTTACTTAGTTCATCTTCCCTATCAGACTAACACCATTGAGGGCAACTTTTAATAGACAGTGAGACCCCCTGACAGTAGGGACCCCTGAACGCTGGGATTTCTGTAGATCCAGAGTGTGTATTTAACAACTGTTGAAACCAGTGAATGGATGAATGTATGTATAGTATTCACTCATATCTTGGTAGATCTTAGAATTGGCATGTCTCAGTTGACAAGATGCAGGCCCAGAGAGTAGAAAAATCTTGACTAGCATCACATTGTGAGTAAGAAAGAAACAAACTGAGAGCCCTCATAATCCTAGTTCAGCTATTTCCAATTCTGCATTTTCCTCCTTATTTTCTACTCCAACTCTTTAATGTTAGCTGCTTCTGGGCCTTTCTTGGACTCCAGCCTCAAAGAATTGAGCAAAAACATTTCAGGTGGGTTCTCCAACAAAGAGGGTGTGGAAGGGAGCACTGCCTGGGCTCCAGCAGGACGTTTGTGAGTCCTCTAAATTTTCTTTTGGAAATTAAGTTACATTCTTTTTTTTATTTTGTTTTATTGCTTAAAGTATTACATATGTCTCCTTTTTTTTCTCCCCTTGACCTTCCCCTGGCCTCCCCTACCCCCCAGTGTCTTGTGTCCATTGGTTATGCTTATATGCATGCATACAAGTCCTTTGGTTGACCTCTTCCCCCCTCACCCCAATCTAATCCATTCATTTGCTGATGGACACTTAGGCTGTTTCCAGATCTTAGCTATGGTAAATTGTGCTGCTATGAACATATGGGTGCATATATCCTTTCTGATTGGTGTTTCTGTTTTCTTGGGATATATTTTCTGGGCCTGTGGTCTGTCTTAATTATTTTACTCCTTTTGATGGGTCCAGTACCCTTCTATTCTACTCTCTTCTTCCTACATTCAGCAAGTATTAGGGACAGCATGATGAGATTCAGAAAATCTGTCTTGCCCTTGAGATCCTGGTAATACCTTCTTCAGAAAAACAGTGAGCATGAATCCAGGCACTGAACTCTCACATACATGACCCCTAGGATCCTCGCAGGCTCCCTATAGGCAGATGTGATTTGCTCAAGGTGACACGGTGCTTACGAATGAGGTCTGGGTTCTGACCCAGTTTACCTGTCCTCAGAGCACATGTTCTTTCTATCATCTCAGAGGACTATGCCCGAGTAATGATGGAAAGGGAGGCCTGTTTAACCTGAAAAGTAGTAATGGGCTGAAGAGAGTTATAGTTGCTATCTTCTGAAAGACATGCTCTATGCAGGCCTAGAGGGTAGAATTAAAAGTCGTCGGTGGAGCCTGGCCAGTGTGGCTCAGTGGTTGAGAGTCGACCTATTAACTAGGAGGTTGCCGGTTCAATTCCCAGTCAGGGCACATGCCAGGGTTGTGGGCTTGATCCCCAGTAGGGAGCGTGCAGGAGGCAGCTGATCAATGATTCTCTCTTATCATTAATGTTTCTCTCTCTCTCTCCCTCTCCCTTCCTCTCTAAAATATATATATATATAATTTTTTTTAGGTCTTAGGTGGAAATTACAGGAGGGCAGTTTTAAACTAATTGGAAAGAACTCTGATGACTGGAACCATCTGGAAATGGTTGGACTGTCTGGGAGAAGTGGTGGTTCCTGTGTCCAAATGCTACAAACTGAGTCTGCATGACCACTTTTCTCAGATTCTTCAGGACTGCTGAATTGGCTGAATATAGATCTATATGTCAGGCACAGTTGTAGGCATTGGGCCTAAGAAGAGGAGAAGCAACATCCTGCTATTCTGCTTAATGAGAGAGACAACAAACATATAATGCCACGTGGTTACAAGTGCCATAAAGGAAAATAAAAGTAGGGTAAGGAATAGAGAATAATATGGGTGTGTGTGTGTGTGTGTGTGTTTTGAACAGCTTACTAAAAAAAGAAAAAAGACTCTCTGAGGAAGTGATGTTGAGTAGTAATCTAAATGTACTGAGGCAGTTAGCCACATGCATATCTAGAATCTTCTAGGCAGAGAGAGCAGGAAAAGCAAAGGCTCTGAGGGAGGTTAACCCATCACCAGGAACGTATGAAAGATTCTCCTCATCAACATTTGAATTGTCACGGTTTTTAATTCTAGCTGTTCTAATATCTATGTAGTAGTATCTCATCCTGGTCTTCATCTGCATTTCTCTAGTTGCTAGTGATGTTGAACATCATTACATGTACGTATTTGCCATTTATATATCCTCTTTGGTGAAATGTCTGTTCATCTGCCCGTTTTCTAAGTAAATTATTTTTGAACTGTTGAATTTTGAGAGTTCTTTATATATTCTATATTTGAGTTCTTTGTTGTATATGTTCGAGTTTGCAAATAATATCTCTCAGTCTGCTTGTTTGTTTAATCCTCTAAAAAATTTTTTTTACCTCTTTTTTGTTCTCTCTTTTGTGGTGAAAGTACTTAAGGTCTATTCCTTTACCAAATTTGTAGTACACAGCACAACATTGTTAAGTATAGTTACATTGTTGTTCAATGGATCTTCAGAACTTTTTCATCTTGCATAACTCAAACTTTATATCCCTTGACCAACTCCTCATTTCCTCCTCCATAGAGCCCCTGGTCACCACTGTGTACTTTCCACTTCTGTGAGTTTGATGACTGAGATTCCACATATAAATGAGCTCATGCAGTATTTTTCTTTTTTCAACTGGCTTATTTCCCTTAGCATAATGAATGTCTTACAGGTTCATACATGTTGTCATAAGTGGCAGGATTTTCTTTTTTAAAATGCTGATTAATATCCTCCTGTGTGTATATGGAACATGTTCTTTACCTGTTCATCTGTCAACAGACATTTAGGTTGTTTCCACACATTGGCTATCATGATAAATACTGGTCTGAACACAGAAGTGCAAGTAACTCTTCAGGATAATGATTTCATTTCATGCAGATATATACCGAGAAGTGAGATTGCTGGGTCATACATGGCAGTTCTCTTTTTAATTTATTGGAATAATTGCATGAACATGTTTTCAAATTTTTATTGAGCCTTTACTGTGTGCAAGGCACTGGTCTAGCAGCTTGGGACACAGCCATGAGCAAGATTAAGGGATCAGCACTATATGGACATTATGGCAGTTATGATTGGCCATAAATAAATAAATAACTCAGTAATTCAGAAGGAGAGCAAAAAAAAATATGCAAAATAATTTCCAAGAGTTTAAGTGATAGGAAGAAAATAATACAACTTAGGGTAAGGAGTAGTCTCACAGCCAAGGATTATTTCTAAGGATATCACATTTGAGGCAAAGATAAGGAAAAAGAATAATTAATCAACTTTACAAGGCAGACTGGTGGTCTGGGGAGGTTTTTATGGTAAAAGAATGCCTGTGTGAAGAATTGACCTGTGACCCATGTGATGAGGTGTCAGCTACACAAAGAAAGGGAGACAAGGAATTTAGGCTGAGGTACATTTGGAAGGTAATTTGTTCCAGTTTGCTGATGACTGTCTTGAGTTGGGTCCTCTAATTTCCAGGACCTGGAAAGATCCTCAGTCCCAGGCATACTTGGATGGTTTGTCTACCTAATGGGAGGTCTGAGATCCATTGAAATATGAGATCTACCGAAAGATCAGCATCCCGGTAGCTAATGTCCAAACGACAGCCATGGTTACTGGCAGCTTGATCTACACAAAAATAAAAGAATTTTGATTTTGAAACATTTAGGCATCTGAGACTCTGGTTCTTGAAAGCACCTCAGCCTTAGCCCAACAGGTTAATAGTTAATCAACTTTACAATTATTACCTTCTCTGTGATATCAGAGAGCAAACCTGCTGACCCATTAGCTGTCATATAAACAGCACTCGCATGTACATAGGCACACAAACATAGATACCCTACACCTAACTAGTATTCACAGACAAAATGAAGATCTGGAGAGGCATGCTATGAGATCACCATAGCTGGTAGTGGACTTTTGAAAGGAAAGGACATTGGAAAGATAAGTAGACCTTGTGATATAGCTTTTCATTTTATATGTTGTACTCCCAAGGTAAGTCCCACTGTCATCTCCATCTAGTTAAATCGGTGTTTGTGCTGAATTAGATAGTTTCTAACTCTAGCTGGGTGAGTTCCTAGTTGAAGCCTTAAACAAAATTTGATCTCATGATTCAGACAGGGATTTAAGTCAGAGCTCATAATAAAAGGTGGAAGAATTGGGAAGGGAAGACTGGTCTGGAACTTTTTATGTGCCTTCATAGATTCTTTCATATATGATAGTGGTAGTTCATGCATCATTAAAATCAAAATCTTCATCTTGACCAAAAAAGGCAGCTCCACACTGTGGCCTTCATTTGGGGTGAGGGGACAAGGGAAAATTCATAGACACACAAATGTTCACTTGAGGCCAAATATTAGACCATATATTTTAATACATGTGAAAAAGACCGAGAATTTAAGTCCAGTAAAGAGAATACCTGTTATATACTTCTCTTTCCACATTTCTAATTGTAAGGTAACTTGCTTGGCTCTTGTCTTGGCAGTAGCATTATGTCGGTCTCCATGTCATCCAATCCCCAACAGAATTGTCCCCAGTGAAATAAGATAAGTAGAAGTGGCTTCCTGGATAGTATTCCTAATAGTTATCTCTACTGTCCCGTACCCAGGAGGAAATGTTAGTTAGTTGTACCACCATTTCTCTTAGCAGTAGTAGGTGCAGTAGTAGTAGTAGGTGCCAAAGCCGGTGTAGATTTCTTCTTGGAAGTTCTGGTCACCCTTTCTGAGCTATCTTCACCTGGGTTTAATGTTACCGCATCATTGGGCCCAGTTCCAGGGGAAGCAGGAAAAACATCCCCAGTAACATTGGTGGGAAAATCTGTAGGGAGTAGGGGAGGTAGTGGCTTTCCAGTAACTTCCTCGAAGTTTATGGGAATGCAACAATTTTTCTTGTTCATACAAAGAATTTTGTACCTTTCAGTAGGTAAACATCGTCTTCTGCAGTGTCCTACATTATTCTTCCAGCACTGTTTGACTCCCCAGCCAGCTGCAAGGAGTAAATAAGTAGATCAAGTTTTTAGCTCAACTACATGATAAAGTGTTGTCATTTAAAAATATGCCACCAAGGAGTTGTCATTAAAAATATGCCACCAAGGAACCAAGGAAATTGGGGGAGGAGAGACAGGAAGGAGAAAGAGGAAGAAGAGACAGAGAGGGTACGCATTATAAGAGCTAGTACTTAAAACAAGAAGGCAAGAAGGATAAAAGGAGCCAGCAAAGTACATTGGAGGCAAAGATTATTTCAGGAAAGGACCAGCAAATGTTCAGTCCCAGTGTTGAGAAACTGCATAGTGTCTTTAAGGTATTTGGAGAAGGCTGATCAGTCTGAAGTATCCTATATAATAAATGCCTAATATGCTAAGTGTCCAGTTGTCCGGTGACCGGTTGACTATTCAACCAATCAAAGTGTAATATGCTAATGATATGCTAAGGCCGCCCAACTGCTCGCTATGACATGCACTGACCACTAGGGGTCAGATAGTTGACTTGTCAACCAGTTGCTATGATGTGCACTGACCACCAGGGGGCAGATGCTCTGACTGGTAAGTTAGCTTGCTGCTGGGTTCTGGCCAATCGGGGCTGGGCGAGAGGGGCCAGACCCACCCTGGAGCCCTCCTGCAGTCCCTCCCCAGCTGGCCAACCTCCCGTGTCCCTCCCTGGCCGGCCCCAATCAGGACTAGGGGAGATGGGCCAGACATGTGGAACCCTCCCACAGTCCCTCATTGCCCCCAATCGTGTACTGGTGGGGTCCCTCGGCCTGGCCTGCACCCTCTCACAATCCAGGACCCCTCAGAAAATGTCAGAGAGCCGGTTTCGGCCCGATCCCACAGCCACTTGAGGGACCCCACCCATGCACGAATTCGTGCACTGAGCCTCTAGTAATGTATAAAGAGCAAAGGATCCCAAGATGAAATGAGCTTGAAGTAGTAATGCCTTCTCCTCAGTCACTTTAGGCCACTATTAAGCATTTCTGTTTATTTCAAAACATAATGTGAGCTAATTTACTTTATGATTTAGACAATTAGTTGGGATTTCATGTGAAAATTATATTAGAGAAAGGGAAGAATAGAATTCGGGACACATATGATAGAGGCTTTGGCCAGGTAAGACATAATGGGGCTATGAGAGTAGTGGAAAGAAGACAAATTTAAGACTTTGGTTGTTTGGATACAAGGTCAGAGGAAGATGAAGAAATCAGTGCATCACTACATTTCTGAACTGAGATGGGGAGATTAGTGATATTTGCCACTAACAGAATAGTACACTGAGGAAAGAACAAGATTTGGAGGGAAGAGAAAAAGGTGGGCTCAAGTATTTGCTTTGGGGCAAACAGCATAATATATCTAGAATGTCGACAAGGCAGTGGTATATACCTGTAAGATCTCAGTAGGAAAGTTTGGACTCCAGATGTAAATTTTGGAATCATTGCTTATGGATAGTATTAGAAACTAAAGTAACAGATAAAGTATATTAAGTTGGAATAATCTGAGGTAAAAGGGGACCTGGTTAAATTCTGGTGAGTATCAATATTGAGAGCTCAGAAAAGAGGAAAAGGCTCAAAAGGAAACAACCAGATAAATCAAAGCAAATCAGGAGAATGAAACACTAGAGATTAGATCAGTTCCCCGCAAAGCGCAGAACTGGCTGGGGGGGGGGAGTGAGTACAATAATTACGTTAAGAGGCATTCGCCACCCCCCAAAATCAATTTGAAATGGGGAAGTTAGGGAACAATAAAGCCAAAAGACGTGAGTGACACAGTTAGCTCTCACTGCGGTTCACTAAAGCACAACCCCACGGGGAACGACGGCAGCCAGTGTACGAAAGAAGCGTCAGGGTAATCCTTCTTGGGGGTCCAATGAGCAGGAATATTCATCTACTGACCTGCCAGCCAATAGTTGACAGATGAGCCCAGAGGGAGCTGATAACTCCCTGTCACTTCTGGATTGCCCTGAACAGGGATCTTTCCCAAGCAACCAACCATGCTGCGGGGATTCTGCCAGCGCGGCTCCAGCTGGTGCGCGTACAAATGGAAAATACCGAAAGGATACCACGAAGGTTGTATCAGAGGTGACTAGATTATGCAAGAGAGAGAAATGTTTCTTAAAGAAATGAGTTGACATTTGTAGGCAATTACTGCTGAGGGGGTAAGATAAGGGTAGAAATGTCCATTGCATTTCACTTGATGAGCGTCTCAGGGAACTTTGATGAGTAGTTTCAGAGTGGTAGGAAGAAAAGAAACGAAAGTGAGGCTGGTAGAAATGTCAATAAAAGAAGTGGAAGTAGCACCTGGCGAAAAAACTTAAGTTTCGCTAAAAGGAAGCGCAGAGAAACAGGTAAGTTCTTGGTGGACAATATGGGATTAAGGGTGGATTTTTTTGCCTTTGTTTTTAAGAATGGGAAACAGCCCGGCCTGCAAAGCTCAGTGGCTGAGCACGGACCTATTCCCGGGATTAAGACACGCCTAGGCTGCGGGCTCCATTCCCCAGTAGGGGGCGTGCAGGAGGCAGCCAATCAATGATGTCCTCTCATCACTGATGTTTCTATCTTTCTCCCCCTTTTGCTGCCTCTCTAAAATCAATAAAAAAAATATTTTTTAAAAGAATGGGAAATAACAGCATGTTTGCAAACAATGAAGAAGAAACAAGTAGAGAGGGAGAGATTAATGCAAGAGGGAAATGAGACAACAGAAGGGCATAACCTTGACAAGTTGACAAAGATTAAAATGACATACAGCAGAGTGACTGAGATGGAGAAGGCACACTTCCTCAGCCTGTCAAGGGGGAGAGACAAGACGGATGCAAAGGCCTACTGGTATGTATGTTGGCAGTGATAAAAACAAAAGGTTCTATTTGAATTTTTTAAATCATGAAGTGTGGGGTATGGTCATAAGCTGGGACAGAGAGTGACGCAGAGGAGTGAAGCAGGAGAGTAAAATGAAAGAGAGGTCAGTACAAAATAGTTGTCTACCGCCCAGGCCAGTGTGGCTCAGTTGGCTGGGCATTGTCCCAGGCACCAAAAGGTTGTCCGTTCAATTCCAATCAGGGCACATGTCCTGGTTGTGGGCTCTTGATCGCTGGTAGGAAGCGTGCAGGAGGAAGCTGATGGATGTTTCTCTCCCTCTCCCTTCCTCTCTCTAAAAATAAATTAAAAATATTTTTAAAAGCCCTAGCCAGTTTGGCTCAGTGGACAGAGGACATCCTCAGCCTGTGGACTAAAGGGTCCTGGGTTCGATTCTAGTCAAGGGCACATGCCCGGTTGTGGGCTCAATCCCCAGTAGGGGACGTGCAGGAGGCAGCCAATCAATGATTTTCTCTCATCATTGATGTTTCTATATCTTTCTCCCTTCCTCTCTGAAATCAATAAAAATATATATTTTTTAAAAATCCTTTTTGAAAAAGCTGTCTAGGGGAAGATGAGCTTACAAGAGAAATATAGGAAGATTTTTCAGCAGCATGATAATTCAGTTGTGGGGTGTATACATTAATCTAAAGGAAACTCGTCGGTCTATTGTATGATCATTTATCAAGCAAATTGCATGACAAATCCTCTGAAAAGTACCAAGGTCGGTGTATTCTAGGCAAAGGAAGCAGCTAGAGCAAAGAGTCTATGATGGAGGAAGGCTGGTATAGATGAGGAAGAGCAAGTAATTTTCAAAACAATCTCTTTTGGATTTAATTTGGTCATGTATGAAAAGCACCTTTCTTGGGTTGGCATTTATAAAGCTCAAAATAATTTGGGTCCTATTGCCTCCTCTGAAATATGTTGGCTTTATTTCACTTCTCCAATGATTCATTCCCTTATTATTTTACTGGCCCAAATTTACTTGGCTCAGGATAGAATTTTCTGTAAGTTTAAAATGTAGATTACAATAGGATTGTCTATATTCCCTATACTGTGCTTTACATCTCCATGACTATTTTGTAACTATCAATTTATAGTTCTTAATCACTTCACCTTTTTTACCCAACTCTCCAACCCCACTCCCATCTGGCAGCCAGCAGTCTATTCTCTGGATCTATGAGTCTGATGTTACCAAGTGGGTGCTGGAAATATGGGGAGGAACTCTTTGAAAATTATATTATTGTTTAACCACTATACTGTATACATGAAACTGATGCAAAATATTGAATGTAAACTGTAATTGAAAAATAAAAATTTAAAAATGTAGACATTTCACTTGCTTCACCGAAAACAAAAATCTATCATTGCTTCTCCATTCCTCACTTCTACAGAGATTATCGTTTCTTTTCCTCCAGGGTACCCATACTTGAAATCAGAAGTTTCTCAGTTCGTCTCCCCTAAACTCTTTAAATCATCTTGGTCTGTCAAGTTTTTATCAACATTGTTTCTTACTTGCATTACTCACTACTCCTTTTTAACCATTTCCTCCAACGTTAAAATTTAGGGCATAATCCCTCATTCAACACAGTTTTGAGCCCCTAACTGTGGTGCAGACTTAATTCTAGATACTTGAGGTACATTTGTGAACTAAACAGACAAAATCACATGTAACTTAGGGGAATACAGACAATAAAAAACACACACAAGTAAGTTATCTTGTATGTGAGAAGGTGATAAGTGGTTTGCAGAAATAAGAGCAAATAGATTTAAGTGGAATCTGTTTGCAATATGGGGCCAGATTTCAATTTCTTAAACAGCAGTTAGCATAGAACTGAAAGAAGATGACAATTAAACGGTGACTTGAAAGAGGTAAGGGAATTAGCCACACTGATACCTGGGGCAAGTACATTCTAACTGGAAGAAACAAACAGAACTCTGAGGGTCCAGCAAGCCTGGCATGTTTGGGGAACAGCACTGAGGCCAGTGTGGCTCTACCAAAGTGAGCAAGGACTAGCATAGGAAGAGGTGAGGTGAGAGGCGTCCTAAGGACCAGATCATGGAGGGCCAGGTGGGCCACTATAAGAAGCCTGGTTACTGCTCTGAGTGAAGAAGGGGGAGCCATTGCAGAGTTTTGAACAGAAAATATACATAATCTGACTTCCAGGGTGAGCAGATCGTGCTCTATCGTGCTATCTTGACAGCAGACTGCATGAGCCAAGGATTGGACAGAGACCTGTGAGGAAGCTGTCGTAGTAACAGGTGAGACATGACAGTAACTTGAATTAGAGTGGTAGCAGTGGAGGTAGTGAGGTTCGTTGGTTCTGGATATAATTTGCAGGTAGATGTAACAGACTTTTTGATAGATATGAATGCCACAGCTAACAATATCGAAGATAATTTCAAGAATATAGCTTAAGCAATGCAATAACCACAACTGGGAGCAATCTATAACTTAATGTATTTTTTAAAAATAATGACAGTATAGGCCTAACCAATGGACACAGACAACGGGGGGGTGGGGTGGTGAAGGCATGAGTGCGGGGATAGGGAGGTAATGTGGGGATAAGGACACATATGTAATAACTTAATCAATAAAGAAATTTTTAAAAATAATAAAAATTTAAAATAAATAAATAAAATAATGACAGGAATCATTTTTGCAAAACTCCTCAATCTAGAATCATTATGTTGTTAGGACTTGTGACTTCTGTCACCAATATCTCAAAACCGTAAAACTAAAATATGTGAATAACAACTGTATTATTTCAGACACATAAGCCACCTAGCCAAAACATTATCCCATGTGTGAATTCTCTCTAAAACATGCCAAATATAGAATCAGGTAGCACTGACTTATAGCTATTGACATAGTTGTTGATGGACAACTTGGCTTGGTAAAAAGTTTCTTTATGAAACCATGAGATGCTATCTCATTTGAAAACACACAATAATTAAGTCAAACACATCAAATAGTTAAGTTTTAAAATGGAACCTATAATGGAAAATCTGTAAATTAACAGGAATAAAAACTACCTCCAAAATAAAAGGGAAAAAGAGGCAGACCACATAATTTATAGAAAAATTAAAATACACAATAAATATATATTTTAGGTTTGACTTCTCCAGAGTCAAAGAAATGGAAAAAATATATATTTAGATGTTTTCCTTTATTTTAAAAATTTGTAATATTCAGAAATTGACAACAAACATTAAGCAGATAGGGATCAGGTTCATTTTGAGGAATTTTATGTTGAATGGTATATCTAAGAATAGTTATATGGAATGTACTTACATGTGAAATATAAGTACACTTATTAGCAAAAACAATAAGGACATAAATGCCCAATTATGAAATTGGATAAATAATTTCAGAGTATCCATTCCATAAAATGTTATGCAATCACTGAAAATTCAGTTTTTGAAAAATATTTACTATATGAGAAAATACTAATGATGTAATAGAAAATTACAAGGTAGACTACACATTTTTCTTCACCTTGTATCCAAGGAATCTGAGGGAAAGCAATAGAACAAAATCTGATTTTTACTTCTTTCATATTTCAAAACTTTACAAAATTTCAGCAAATAATTCATAATCAGAATTGAGTATAGATATTAATCTTTACCTCACTTACTAAATCAATATGTTGCCATATGAATTAAGATATAAGATCATGAGAATTTTTATGTCCATTTCAAGGAAGTGAAAACCTTTCTAAGCAAAATATCTCCAAACTTTAAAAGAACCCATTTTTTTGGTATATAAAGAACTCTTAAAATCAATAAGAAAGAGTTCAAAAATCCCAAAGGGATAGATGTTCAAACTCATTTATAGGTAAAGTGTGATAAATTTAAACAAAAAAAGAGATATTTTTATACATCAAAATGAAATAGTTGAAATAATCTGATGAAAAATGTAATAATGAGTATGTGAGAAGCTGACACTCACTTGTGATAAAAGTAAAAAGTAATGTAGCCCACTTGGTGGGTTGACAATCTTGTGTGCATGTGTGTGTGTGTGTATTTGTGTGTATAGTCATGAATAAAAGACGTTTATTTACAAAGTTTTCTTACTGAATTGTTTGATAATTAAAAACTGGTTTTCCAGCAGTAGTGGATGAATTAAATGAAGTAAGGAAATTCATCCACACACACCCCTTAAGCTCTATGTATGGATGTGTTAATAATAATAAAGTCAGTCTATATATTGATAAGAAGTCTCTAAGACATATTGCTAGCACATTGCAGAAGAATCCACATGGCTCATATGAACTGGATTTTTTTAAATCTAAGAGATATATATCATACATATATTTACATATGTGTGTATATAGTATGCATATATTTATTTCTTCGCTTGGTAAAAAGTTTCTTTACAAAGCCATCACATGCTGTCTCCTTGAAAATGTATATATACACTTGCACCTGCTACTATATATAACTGGTTAGAATGATTGATTCAGAAATTCTGAAAGGAAGACTGAAGAATTGTTTTTCTATGGAAGTATGGTACTTTTCCTTAAACTTATATAAACCTATCAATTGCTTGACACTTTTTAACATTTGCAAGTATAATAGATAATTTTCAGTAGTAGCATTATTCAAAAGAGGAACAAACTCATTCATTTTTATCTAATATCATAGAAGCTCGCCATTGGCCTTTGCATATTAGTCTTTCTCTCTGTCTTAATTTATCCCCCTCATAACTCAAATTTATGACAGCTCTGCAGAACCTACAAACAGTGTGACGAACTTGTTCGCCATATCTCAGAACATAAAAATAAAAGACTCCTGCGAAGATACTTTCATGAGAAAAGAGAATTCAAGATGGTAGTAAGAGTTTAACTACTAGGACACAACAATGAAACGGGTACAACAATGAAATCATTCAAATAGAAGTGAAGTGAGGCTGAGTTAACACTGGTTAGTTACATAGAGAGACATATAAGGCTGATGAGAAGATTGAGAAAATTTGTGCCTTTGGAGAAATGTTTCAGAAGACACCCAGCTTGATAGGTGCCTCTAACAAATTCTTAGAGAGTAGGGATATAGAGCTGCCATAATAAGAGCATTTTGCGCTACTCTTTATTGGCCCAAAACTTTTCCAGTGGGCCCTTTTCCCCCTTGGTAACACGTAGGAGCTCAATGTCAATAACTCATCCTTGTTCCTTCATCCTTGCATTCTAAGGTTCCATTACCTTTGGTCACTGAAGTTAGTAACCCACATAGAATGAAGGTCAGCAACAGGAGATTCATGGCTTCTGAAGGAGAGGAAGCTCTGTATGCTGAGGAACCCAAAACATTTTAGACAGCTGGGAATCTAAGTGGTCACCTTTACTGGTCTATCATGGGTGACGAATCAGAGATGGGCAGAATGCTATGCCACGCAGAACACCAGACCATTGACTTGCACCATTGAGTGTGCATGACAAAGTAATGCTCTGTTCTAGAAACTGGAAGAAGAAACTGAGGCCTTATGAAATGAGTTGTAATTCTGAGGAAGTGAGGGGTCTGATGGAAAGCAGTAATTCCCAAAGAAAGTCCTCCTCAACCCCAGATGGGGCCTTTCTGGTGGTGGCACCATAGATATGCAATGATCGCAGAATGCTATGTAAACATCCCATTTGTTTCAGACCAATAGCTCATGGCATCCAGTAGAGCATCCTCGTTCCCACTTGAGTGATTGCCCACCTCCGTTTTGTATTAATTACTGCATAAGGTATCAAACTTTGTTTGAGATGGATTTTTCTTTAACAGTGGATATCTGCTTTTTGCAGTAACCATTTGTTGAAAGCACTATTCTTCCTCCACTGAATTACTTTGGCACATCTGTCAAAAATTACTTGGCTGTATTTGGCTCTCTATTCTGTTCCATTGATTATGTGCCTATTCTGCTGTCAATATCATATACTATTGGTTACTATAACTGTATAATATCTTGAGATAGTGTAGCAATTTTTCCTGCTTTCTTCTTCTTTTTAAAAATTGTTGTAGCCTTGTCTTTCAAGAAAAATTGTAAGATGATCTTGTATATTTATACAAAAGATCTTGCTAGGATTATGATAGCAATGAAGTTAAACCTGCATATCAGTTTAGGAAGAAATGACTTCTTTACTATGTTGAGTCTTTCAAGGAATGAACATGAGCGTCTATGTCACCTCATTTAATTTCTTTCAAAAAAAATAAATAAAATTTTTTTCATCGGTGTTTTGTGATTTTTTAGGTTTTGGAGCATAAGACCTAAAGTGGTTTTCCTATTTACACCTAAGTATTTTTAACTTTAATTTTAATATCCACATATCCTTACTAGTACAGAGCAATACAATTCATTTTTATGTGTTGATCTTGTAGCCTGGACCTTGCTTAACTCATGTTTTAGTTCCAAAAGGTTTTTTGCAGATGCCTTGGTCTTTTCTATGCAGACTAACACGTCAGCTGCAAATGGAGACAGATTTTCCCCTTCTTTTCCAACCTGTATGCTTTTTACTTCATTTCCTTGTCTTATTATGCGAGGTATTATTTTCCAGATGTGTTACATAAGAGCGGTGCAAGTGAATGCCCTTGTGCTTTTTACCTTAGAAGTATTCATTCTTTTACCATTAAGTTAGCTGGAAGTTTTTTGTAGATTTTTTTTTATTAAGTTAAGAAAGTTTCCCTCCATTCTTGGTTTTCTGAGAGTTTTTTTAAGATTTTGAATGCTTATGGAACTTATTGAAATGTTATTTATAATATGATCATACGATTTTTTTCCTTAGCCTGATAATTTGGTGGCTGATATTTTTTTAAAATATATTTTTATTGATTTCAGAGAGGAAGGGAGAGGAAGAGAGAGATAGAAACATCAGTGATGAGAGAGAATCATCAATCCCCTGCCTCCCGCACGCTCCCCCACTGGGGACTGAGCCCACAACCTGGGCATGTGCTCTTTTTGTTTGTTTGTTTTTTTGTTTTGTTTTTTAATATATATTTTATTGATTTTTTACAGAGAGGAAGGGAGAGGACAGAGAGTTAGAAACATCAATGAGAGAGAAACACCGATCAGCTGCCTCCTGTGCCTGCAACCAAGGTACATGCCCTTGACTGGAATCGAACCTGGGACCCTTTAATCCGCAGGCGGACTCTCTATCCACTGAGCCAAACCAGCTAGGGCGGTATTTTTTTTTTTAATTAATTAAATGTTGGAACCCTGGCTGTTTTGGCTCAGAGATTAGAGCATCACCCATGGACCAAAGAGTCATGGGTTTGATTCCTGGTCAAGGGCATGTAACCGGGATGCAGGTTCGACTCCCAGCCCCAGTTGGGGCATGTGTGAGAGGCAACCAATTAATGTGTTTCTCTCTCTCTCTCTCTACTCTCAAAAAAAAAAAAAAAAGAACAATGGAAGAAATATTCTCAGATGAGGATTAACAACAAAAAAAAAGCAAGGTAAATTGGAGTCTGCTTGCATCTTCAGGCAAAATCAAGTTTATTTCTCGGTCAGCAAGGAACCAGGAACTTATTTTAAGCAGCTCAGTTACATGGCTTAGTATTTATTAAGTATCTATCATACATTAACATCTAAAGGCTGGAGTCAGTATTTTATCTGTAACTGGAAGGGGGCCAGGGGTGAAAGGAGCACTGGTGGACAGAGACAAAGAGAGGACTCTGAGCTTTGAATCTGGATGATGGAAATTTCGTGAAATCATTCTGATGAGAGACCAGAGAAAAAAAGTGTGGGGGTGAAAGATAATTAGTTTGCTTGGAATTTGTGGGAAAACCCCGTGGTTTTTGGAGATCACTGGAGTCGGTAGTAAATGCAGGGCATAGGACAGGATGGGCACAGAGATCGAGATTTGAAGCCATTTCTGTGCTGTTGATACCTAAAGCCCAGGAGGGGGATAAGGTAGCCGAGATCCAGTCGTGAGCGAGAACACACATCAGACGTGAGGAGATTCCGCACTAGCAAGGAGCACGAAGGGGAGGCAGTGAAGGCGATAGAAAGGGAATACAGAACGTTACAAAAGTGAGATCTCTAAAATGGGGGAGTGGACATTATCAAATATTAAGGGGGAGGAAAGTGCTTTAATTTACTTAGGAGATGGCAGATGATTGGGAAGAACTGGGGAGTGAGTGGGAAACAAAGTGATTAAACATCTATTCCCTTTCCTTTGAGCTTATGTGGAGGAGGAAGAAAATGTCCTCTGCCCTCAGGGTTCTTCTGACTGGTCTAATACCAAATAGATATGAGGCCTATTAGCAAGAAAAAATAACCAAATTTAATTCATACATATATATAGGAACCCTGCATACATGAGAGAGTCAGAGACAACCTCTGCAGGAGAGGTTCAGAGACAGAAAGAAAACATGAGTATATCTGACCTAGGGATATGATAAGGTGACTTGTGCACAGAGGTACAGAGATAGAAAGGGAACAAGAATATACATGACATTCGGAGCTAGGGATGAGGCGCTTCAAAGGGGAAGAACAGCAGATATTTAGTAAGGATTAGTAAGTAGAATCTGCCCTGCCTTATAGATAGGCCAAAAGATGTTATCTCTAATTGCTTATTCTGGGCCAGGCCCCTAATTCAGCTTCTTTCAAAAAAACCCTGTGCCTTTTAAGGGAAGGCACAAACTTTTCTTGAGCCTGCAACTAAAGTCTTTAGCTCAAACAATCTTCACACCACAGAGAAACATCTTGGAGTGACTTGTTCTGAACCCCCAATAATTTCTTAATTATGAAAGAAAGAAGAAAAAGAGGATTCGGACTGCAAACAATAGCCCTCACTTATGTGATCTCATATAAAGCACTTAACCTCTCAAGCTATTAAACATGTTATGTAAACAGCATCTGATCTAATGCAGGCTCCCGAGGGCAGCAGCCGTACCTATACTAATGACCTCAAGGCCCCTGGAGCCTAGAGCCATGGCAATAGCCATTTGAAAAAATGCTCGCTGGGTGAAGTGTGAAGTGTGAGCAATGACATGCACTCAGGTCTTTATTTTTATTCCTTTTTTAAATTATTGATTTCAGAGAGGAAGGGAGAGGGAGGGAGAAATATCATTGATGAGAGAGAATCATGGACCGGCTGCCTCCTGCACATCCCCTAGTGGGGATCGAGCCTGAGACTCGGGCATGTGCCCTTGATCAGAATCGAACCCGAGACCCTTCGGTCCGCATGCCAAACCGGCTAGGGCTGTACTCGCCAGTCACTGTGCTCTGCACCGTACTGAGCATGACTAGCATTCTTCACAATCCGAGGAGACAACAGACTAAAAGAGGCAGATAAGGGACCCAAAGTCCACATCCGATGGGTCTTGGAGAAGGGAAGGCATTTTCCAACTCAAAGTTGCAGAGGGACAGAGCATGCTCCATGGAGTGAAAGTGGTGGGTAATATTTATGATTTTCAAATATTTAACTGTATTTCAACACACAACAAAGCCCACATGGTCATTATTTTAATTCTTTTAACATATTGCCGATTTCCATCAGATAACAGTTTTAATTGAAAGGGTTAACTGGAGAACAAGGCTTGAGCCTTAGAAAATCTAACAAATGTCAAAGGGAAAGCTCGTTCTGCTAGCCTAAGCCTTGCACAAACATGCTCCCCGTGAGTGGTTATTTTACAGAAATTCCTGAAGACCACAAGCCCTGCACAGCCCCCTGACAAAGGATGTCTGGCGCCAGCAGGAGGACAAAGGGCAAGGCTGTAAAACTATGGCCCTGATACGTGTGTCAAGCCGAAGCCCCATCTGCAGCTCTCCCTGAGCATAAAAAGCCTGTGCCCTCCCCAGTTCGCCGCTGGCTCTTTCTCTAGTCAGACCACCTGCACCCAGGTGCCTGGAAGAAATTACCGTTTTGATTACACTGTGCCTTGAGTCTGTGCTGTGTGACCCTGGCCCAACCCTGAACCTTTCATTAATGGAATTAAAAACTTACTTAAAGTCAGTCAGAGAAAGATAAATATCACATGATCTCACTCATTTGTGGAAGATGATGAACAATATAAACTGATGAACAAAAACAAATCCAGAGACAGAGAAGCATCGATCAGACCATCAAACCTCAGAGGGAAGGTAGGGGAGTATATCTTAAAACTGAGATTGGCAATGTGGGGATAAGGACACATATGTAATACCTTTATCAATAAAGAAAATTTTAAAAAAGAATCAAGCAAGGGGGGGTGCTTATTTAGATGAAATAATTATAGATTCACATACAATTGTAAGAAATAACTTAGAGCGATCCTGTGTACCTTTTATCTTGTGATTCTCC